CCTCCTGTGCAGTCAGGTCTGTTATTACCCTGTCCCTGGCCAAGTGAGAGAACAGCTTCTGGAGCTGGCTGTGCTGGCTGCGGGGCTGAGGCCTTGGGGGCTGCCTGCTTAGCCTAGGGCCAGACCTCCACTTCCGAGTCCAGGGCCCTGGGCTTTCTAGAGCCTGTGCTGGGCCTGCTGGGCCCCCTGTCGGGCGGCCAGAGGAATCTCAATGGGCCTAGTGGGCCTGGTGGGCCCAGCTCCCAGGACCTTCACTGCATGTCTCTGCTGAGCCTTCTAGTGCCTGGGAGGGAGGTGTTGTCATCCTCTTTACCCAGATGAGGATATTTGTTGAGAGAGTTTAAGTCTATTGCCCAAAGTCACATAACTGGTAGTGGCAGAGCTGGGGCTCATCCAGGGATGGCTGGGGTCATTTCAGATGAGAGCCACAAAGGGATCACCACATCCTCCGGTAGAGTCTGCAAGTCCCAGCCCTCCTGAGCCCTCCTGGGCCTTCCTGGCCCTCCTGGGCCCGTCCTGGGGAATCCCATGGCTTCCAGAGCCCTGCAGGAGGTGGCCAGTTCATACCAGCCAGTTCTGGAATTGTCTGCCTGTTGTGAGACTCCAGGAGATCCTCCTTCTGGAACAATTCAGGGAGATGGCTCTTAGGTCACCGAGTGACACATTCTTTACACTCAGATGACTATGACATTCCACTGTAGATTATTTACCAAAATTAAAAAACATTTCTTTTTACTTTTTTTTCTTCTTGATTGATTTTTAGAGAGAGAGGAAGGGAGAGGGAGAAACATCGATGAGCGAGAACATCGATTGGCCGCCTCCTGCATGCCCCCCACTGGGGATCGGTCCCACAACCTGGGCATGTGCCCTGACTGGGAATCAAACCAGTGACCTCTTGATGCATGGGTCGACGCTCAACCATTGAGCCATACTAGCAGGGCCAAAATTTAAACTTTTTATTACATCATAATGTTGTCTCTGATTAAAAATAAACAAGATTTTAACTTGTGTCTGTGGTCTAAGTTAGTGAACTGCAAAAATAAAGTTTTGGACCAACTTCTAGCTAGACTAATTTTTTAGCTGAAAATGAAACTGCTTCCTTTTTTTCTCCAATTTTGTAAAGATATTGCCCTAGCCAGGTAGCTCAGTTGGTAAGAGTGTCGTCCCCATACGCCAAGGTTGCCGGTTTAATCCCTGGTCAGGGCACATACAAGAATCAGCCAATGAATACATAAATAAGAGAACAACAAATCCATGTTTCTCTCTCTTCCTTTCTCTCTCTCTAAAATCAATAAAGTTAAAAAAAGGTATTTATTATATTCGTAAATATATTTATTTTCTTCTGATTTTATAAGAATCAAAACATGTTTGGCGGAGAGGAATAACTTTAAGTTGGCGCCGGCTTCCAGGCCTTAGTCTTCCAGTTCCCGGAACATAAAGAGTAACGTTCCAGAGACCCAGATCTGCCCAGTCATTCCCCTACTTCTCAGACAGATTCATCCCAGGCCCCTTCCCATCCACCCCGTCCTACTTCACTTCAGGTTCTGCTACCCTGGCAGGGGTCTGGCAGGCCTGGCTCTGGCTCTTGGCTCAGGGCTGGATGGGGGAATTTATCTGCCCCTTTCCTAGGGGCACCCCAGGAGCTGGGTGCAGGACACTGAGGTGTGGGTTGTGTTGTGATCACGGATTTGGCTGAGCTCCAGCAGCTCTAGGGACAGAGGTCTGAGAGGTCCTGCGCCAGGGGCTCTGGGGACAGGGTTCTGAGGAGTCTTAGCTCTTGCCTGGTGTGAGCAGGACCAGAGCTGAGAGGTGGCTGCTCTGTGTCTCCATCTGGGCTTCTTCCTCCTTATGGTACTAACACCTTTTCAGTTCACAAAGCATTTTCACATCCTCATCTCATTTCACATCTGACTTAGGTAGTGAGGGGTGGTCATGTCCTTATTTTACTTGAAGCTCAGAAACGGAACTGGCTTCTCTGAGATCATGAGATCACAGGGCTGATAAGATGGTCATGGGGTAGGCAGGGATGGGTGTACTGGTCTGGTGGGAAAGGGCTGTCCTTGGTTGAAACCAGCATGTATGATACAATTCAATTGGCATAAGATTATACAGTGTAAGTTGGCAGAAAGAAAAAGAAAAGAAGTGCTAATGCCCTCTCTGCCCCCAAACAAAGGTGATGGATGGCAAACACATTAAAAAGTGTCACAGTAAAAGGCTGTCTGAACCTTTGGGAGGACCAGGCTCAGGGAGCCAAAGTGGGTCCAAGGAAAAGTGTCTTGGCTTTGCTGGTATTTTTCCTTCAGCAGGTGCGTGGGACCCAGCCAGTATGGCTGCTGGAATAAATCAAGCGTCAACAATTGCTCTCCAGCTCCACTCGTGCAGAACTGCTCATGGCTCCCCTAGGACCCTCTCGTGCTCCTTCTTTACACCTGAGCTCCCCACAGACCTCCCCTGCTCTGGGCCTGTCCTTTGCCTGATCCCTCGAGCACCTGCCTTCCCCTAGCCTCTGCCCCTCCCCCACCTCCACTGTGCTTGGCTGAGCAGGGAAGGACAGCTTCTTAGTCACTTATTTTGAAACACAGGTGAAAAGTTATTGGGCCTGCATGCTTCTCCTCCCCCACTGCGGCTTTTCCAAGTGTCAATTGGCTGTGTTCCAGAACAACAGCAGGAAGTTGGAGAGAAGGGGGAGGATGGTCTGGCCATCTGGCCAACTCCCTTCTGTAATCCAAAAGCTTGCTGAAAGGGTGGGACAACAGGTAAGGAACACCTGAGTAAGTGCCCACTCCATCCTGGGCAAGCCCTCAGCCCTCTCTGGGCCTCAGTTTACCCATTTGTGCAAAGGCAATAAGATTCCCTGCCCTGCTTACTGCAAGGAAGCTGTGATGAAGTCATTGCAAGAAAGCACTTATTGTCAATCTTGAAGGGTAGCTATCTCTGTAGTTCAGCCAACAGACCTCAGTGTGTGCTCTTCCTCAGAGCCTTGTAAGGTAAACCCAGGGAGGCGTGACCCAGGCAGAAACCATCCCTGTTTGTGTTGGTGTGTGTTCCTCTGTGTGTGTGGGAGGGATGGAGGGGAGGTGTGGGGGGAGTGGGGAAGGGTGCTGGGAACATGTAGACTTCTGACTTCTGCATTATTGAGCACCTTGAGCATTAATTGAGCACCTACTATGTGTCAACCCCTGTGTGGAGCTCTGAGGTTGAATAAGGCATTGTTTTTGTCCTCCAGGAGCCCCCAGTCTTGTAGGGGAGACAGATGTGTTTACAGTCAACCACAATACAAGACCTCAACTCCCCCATCATGCTGGATTGTACCAGCCAAACTTGTGCTTCATCAGGTGCCTCAAGTGCCTCCCGCGTGCGGGGAGGGCTCACAGATGGCTTCACCCTCAATCACACATGCTTAATGGTTCTCTGGCAGGAGCTAAGGCCCTCATGTCTCCATCAGAATCAGTCACCCCAAGGTGCCAGGGGAGGTGCTGAACAATGCTGGGGGCTCGGGGACAAGCCCTGGCCCCTGAGGCACCCTCCCCCCCAGTATAATGGGGAAGAGAAACATGCAGTGACCACGGGGTTCCCTTGATCCAGCTGGGATGAACCTCAGCCCTTCTCTCACCCCCACAAGGCCTTCCTCTAGGTTCCCTCAGCCCTCTGCCTTGAACTAGTCCTTCCTGGTCCTGGGCCCTCTGCTTTGCATTCACCTCCATCCTGTTTCCAGAGACAGCTTTCTAAAAGATGTGTGGTGACCTCAAAGTGGCACCCAGTGCCCTTGCTCATCCCTGCGCCTCTGTGCACAGCCCTGGGTCCTGGTGATGCTCGAAGCAGAGATTTCTAGCCCTTTCACTCCACCTCCTCCCCCACGCCCCCAGACTCTGGTTAGACAGGATTCTTCTCATCCCAGAACAACTGGGGTACCTTTGCTCTCGATGATTCCTCTCCCGGGATGTCCTTTTCCACCTAGTTCTGCTGCCTTGCACAACTCCAGGGGGACCCATTCATGAAGATTTCTGTCATCAGTGCCCTCTGTGGTATAACCCAATAATGCAGCTCCCCTTCCCTAACAAACCTCCTCCTCAGAACCCCCCCCCCCCCTCTGGTTTGAGTTTTCTCTCCCCTTGAAGTCTCATGGGACTTTGTACCAATCCAGACTGTTCTGTGTGTCTTCACAGAGTAAACATCCATTTGTTGGGCTGATGTCCCCAGAGCCTGGCCCATGGCTTGCTCATGGTGACTTCCCCCACTCAGTTCTGGCCAAGCAGCCCAGCTCTGGCAGGAATGAAGCCCACTGGCCGAAATTTCTGTACTGGGGGACAGGCTTCCTCTCTTTGACCAAAACGATGTCACTTCCAAGGCCCCCTCCTCTGGCAGGGCTGGGAAGCTAGTAGAGATGGGGAGAGTGTGTGATGGACTCAGGAGTCCTGGCCCCCCAGCCCCTCATTCCCCCAAACTGACTTCATTGGGCCAATGCCAAGGATACTGGTGAGGCAAATGCATGGTGGTCAGTGAGACTCTTAATAGTAGTGATCAGGCAGCAGTGATGGTGGTAAGGATGTAACAACAGTAATCAAGGCGGGGCTGCTTTTGCTTTCTTAGGATTTCCTTCTCACCTTCATTCTTCCCGAGGGTCCCCACCCATCTGCCTGTCTGCCCAACCAAGCCTGGAATAAGGGAGCCTAGGGCTGTGGGGACCCTAGTCTTCAGGTCTCAAACCTGCAACCCCTGCCCTGGGCACTTCCAGGTGCCTTGAGCTATGACTCAGTGTCTGTTTCCCCGCTGACCTCAGCATGGGCCTGGTTGCAGGGGGAGAGGGCAGTTTCCTATGAGATTGTGACTCAGGGGCCCAAGGCTGGGGACTTAAAGTGCCTTTGTTGGCCTGGGCTCAGGAATCCAGAGAAACTGGTCAGGGAAAGCCCCAGGGATTGAAACTCCTCCCTCTATCCCCACCCCTTCCTAGAGCCATATAACCGCCCCCAGCTCTAGCTCCAGTGCATGTCGCAGCTGTGGCAAGAAAGAGCCTGGTCACACTCACTGAGCTGGTGCTTCTGACTTGGGAGAGACACTCCAAGGCTGCTCCAACTGGCTTTGTCTTCAGACTAGAACTGAAAGTTATCCCTGTGGACTTGGAGTATCCATCCTCAGCACTTGGATTTCTACAGACCCCCTGGCCAGATCCCTAAAGACTTCCAGGTCCTAGATCCCAGCAGACACCGAACGATGGCCTCCATGGGGCTACAGGTGATGGGCATTGCCCTGGCCGTGCTGGGCTGGCTGGGCGCCATACTGAGCTGTGCGCTGCCCATGTGGCGGGTGACGGCCTTCATCGGCAGCAACATCGTCACGTCGCAGACCATCTGGGAGGGCCTGTGGATGAACTGCGTGGTGCAGAGCACTGGCCAGATGCAGTGCAAGGTGTACGACTCCATGCTGGCGCTGCCGCAGGACCTGCAGGCGGCCCGCGCCCTCATTGTCGTCTGCATCATCCTGGCTGTGCTGGGCGTGCTGCTGTCCGTGGTGGGTGGCAAGTGCACCAACTGCGTGGACGATGAGAGCACCAAAGCCAAGATCATGATTGTGGCGGGCGTGGTATTCCTTCTCGCCGGCCTGCTGGTGATGGTGCCCGTGTCCTGGACGGCCAACACCATCATCCGAGATTTCTACAATCCGCTGGTGGCCCCCGGTCAGAAGCGGGAGATAGGCGCCTCACTCTATGTGGGCTGGGCGGCTGCCGGCCTGATGATGCTCGGTGGGGCCTTGCTCTGCTGCAACTGCCCACCCCGCGCGGACAAGCCCTACTCCGCCAAGTATTCCGCCGCCCGCTCCGCCCCCGCCAGCAACTACGTGTAAGGTGCCGCAGCTCAACTCCCCCTGTTGGCTTTGTTTCTCCCTGGACTGAACTCAGCACAGCCTCTGACCCCAGGATGGCCTTGCCGTGGTCCGCAGGCTGCTGGGGGATGAGCAAGCAGGGACTGAGACAGGTCATTGGCCAGAAATCCTCAGTTCCTTCTGTCCCTGGTGGACACCTTCCGAAGGCCTCCTCTACACCAGCAAGGATGGACTGAAGGACTTCCTAGCCACCTTCCCCTGAATGGATATGGACACGGGGGAGGGGGCGGCCGCAACAGGACACGGCAGTGGAGTGGAGCTGGCTCTTGCTGGCGAGGACAGCTCAGCCCTGACTCCCCTCGGGCTCCCCGACTGGGTGCCCTGCCATGCCTGTTGGTCACCGTTTCCTTCTTTGATCTTCTCCACTCCCTCCGAGTACATCCTGTGGAAACCTGAGGCTGTGAAAACGGCTGGGGCCTCACTCAATCACCTGCCTGTGGAGCAGAGTTGACAGACGGGTTTAGAAGGGAGGGGTGAAGGTGCGCTGCATGCAAACTGGTTTGGGGAGTGGTGGGGGAGGGGGCTTTAGAGGAGGCCCTGGCTGCCCTTAACCCTTCCCACCCACCCTGCAGCCTCAGCAGCCTCAGCAGCAGAAGCCTGGGCCCCTTGAAACTGGACACCTCTGGATCTGCCATCCCTAGGAAGGTCATTGGTTAGCTGGGGAAGACAGAGGGAATGGTCTTCCTCTGGCCTTCATCCTAGTTATGTCCTGGAGCTCTTTTCTGCCTCCTCTGTGGTTTGTTTTGTAATTTAAGATCTATTTGTCACGGTAATTACTGTTATTTTCTACAATAAATGGGACCTGTGCATGGGAAGACTCTTTCTGAGTTCAGCTGTGGAGGTGGGCAGGGCAGGGCTGGAGGGGGTCAGTGAGGGGCAGGCCCACTGTGTCCAGCCTGGATGAGAACACTTAAAAAACTGGTTTCATGAAAATATTGGAATTAGACTGACCTTTAGAATCACTTTTTCAAGCCCTTCATTTGATAGAGGGTGAAGCCCATACCCAGGAAAATGTGTGCCCAGAACCCTGGTGAAGTGTTGGGGACTTCAGGAGGGAAGACAGATGAGAACATACAGCCCAGGTGAATGGGCCACCTGTTCTCTCCCTGTTTGTCCCAGCTGTCTGGGCAGCCAGGCTGGTCTGCTCACTCTCCAGGTCCCACCTCCTGGCCATTGCTTAGGCTTTCCCTGCCCTTGGCCTGGAATGTCCTTTTTCCTTTCTCCACCCCTCTGAATCCTGCTCATCCTGAAGGCCCAGCTTGGAGCCTCTCCCCCCACAAAGTCTTCCCACGTGTCGGAAGAATTATCACCAGCACTATTCACGGGGCAGCCTCCAAGCCTCACCCTGAGTTCCAATCTCTGGAGATGAAGAAACTGATTCCTGGACATGTGTTTGACCAAGGCCCAGATGTGGGAGTACAGGTTTCCTGTTTGGTGAGTTAGAGGTGAGAGGGCCCACCACCCTGGGAGGAGTCAAAGTCTCATCTGTGGCCCTATGGTGCCTGGCTCAGGGACAACCCCGGTGGGGGCCCTCTATGTCCAGTCTCTTCTCACTTCTGTTCTCCACAGGGACAATGTCACTCTTTCCTGGGGTGCGAGAACTGCACAGTCAGAATTCTGTTGCCCCTTCTGGGGCTCATTTAATAGGCAGAGCTCTCCTGAGTAGCAGGGTTGGCGCAGTGGCCCCATTTTACAGATGAATTACAGAAGGCCTGAGGACAGGCCTGACTGAGGTCACCTGGAGGGTCAGAGGCCAATTAGGGGCTGAGCACTGGGCCTCACTCCCTCAGCCTGGGCCACCTCCCGTTTTCGGTATAAGTAGACAATGCCCGAGATGAAGCCATCACCGTCAGAAGTGCCAGGCACCACCTCAAGCTTGGTGGTAGCCAGTTCCCACCGGTCCACAGGCCAGGCCACCAGGCGTTCCCACTCCCTGGCCTCCTCCAGCTTGTCCAGGGTGGCCTCCAGTGCCTCCTTGTATCGAAGGTTGGAGGGGTTGGTCCTGGTGGTGAGACACACCAGCCCACCTGGGGAGGGGTGGGGAAAGGCAGGTGAGTGTGGGAGAAGCAGGAGCCAAAGTTCCAGGTTAGTAGTCCCCCCTTTTTTTTTTATCCTCACCCGAGGACATTTTCCCATTTTTTTTGTTCAGATAGAGTGGTGGGGGGAGAGAGAGAAACATCGATGCGAAAGGGACCCATCGAGTGGCTGCCTCCTCCCACATGACCCAACCAGGGGCGGGGACAAACTGCAACCGAGGTACGTGTCCTTAGCAGGAACCGAACCTGGGTCTCTCTGGACCGCAGGCCGACACTTTAACTGCTGAGCCAAACCGGCCAGGGTAGTAGTCCCCTTTTCTTCTGGCTCATGTCCTCAAGGACATAAGTTATTTCAGCCTATCTCCAGGGCAGCATTTTCCTATGTCTAAGCCTCGGTGCTCACCATTCCACCTCCAGGAATACCCTCGATTTCTCCAGCTTGATTGCCTCCTATGTCCCCTTTAGGGCCCAATTCTCCTTCATGCTGGGAACCTTTATTTCCCTGGACAGAGGGGGCTCCCTCCTCAACCCTCTGCTGGAGGATATGGCTGTCTGGATGCACAGAAAGGAAGCACACGGCCTTGGACATAGCCCTTCACTTCCTGAGTGTCAGTTTCTCAGCTTACAGAGTGGGGTTAATTAATTACCCTGTCCCAGAAAGGCCAGTGCAATCAGTAAGCACTGGCTGAATAAATGAATGACCTCATCCCTTCAAATCTTTTCCAGGCGCCTGCAGTATGCCCATTGCAGGCTCAGATACACTGAGGAGCTACTGGTGTCTGAAAGGTTTCCTGGAGGAAGGGGTGAGGAGAAGCAGGTCCTGCTGGTGGAGAGGGGTGGTGAGAGGAAGGACTGAAGTGGGAACCCTGTGGCATGAGGGCAGGCAGACAGGGCTCTGGCCAGCTGAGGGGTCTGGTAAGTACAGGCTGGGCTAAGAGGCCTGGTCTTGACTGGTTCAGGCAATGAGGATTTCCTGTCCTAAGTCCAATCACTACCTCCTTCTCTGACCCCTCCAATGTCCCTGCATCTGTCAGCCTCCTTGGTTCCGAGGCCTGCCCAGACCTGCCCAGGCTTAACCACAGCCCCTGCTGGGCCCCTGCAGAAGATATAAACTTGCTGTAATAGGGGAACCTTAGGGCTTCCTGGTCCTGTCTTGCAGCCAGGTTAGGGCCTCATGATCCTCACGCTCCACTCTCCTTTCTGTCTGTGACTTCACTTAGGCTGTGTCCTTGTGAGGACTGCCCTCACTCCCGGTCCCAGCCCTGGGAAATGCCTCTGATATCTTAGAGCACTGAGCACTCACAGCCCTGTGGCCCCACCTCGGGCCTGGTCTTTTTCTCCGGGGCCCTGCACCTCAGGGAGGGCAGTGGGCCCCACAGTGGATGTAGCCCAAGTGTTTGGGAACCAGGGGCATGGTGGGTTGGGGACTGAGCCCAGAGGGCAGGGTGTGTACTTTCTCCCCAGAGCAGAGGCAGGCACAGGGCAAGACACACAGTAGGAATGCAGTAATTAGCCCCATTTCACAGATTAGGAAAGAGCGCCTCATCCAACAGCCATCCAAGACTTAGTGAGGAAGCTGGAAGATGAGGAAAGTGAATTGAGACCCTAATATATTCCAAGACTAAAGCAAAGGCCTTAGAGATATTATTTCTCCCAATTCTCACAGTAATCCTATTAGGAAGGGACTATGCCACTCTGCTCACAGGTGAGGAGCAGAGGTCAGAGAGGAGAGTGGAGTTACTCCTGGTTGCCTAATAAATAAGAGATAAGGAGGCCACTTGTCTGCCCTGCCTGCTTGCCTAGGTCAGCAGCTGGTGGCTGGGATGTTAGGCTAGGCTGTGTGACCCTAGGCAAGACAATGCCACTTGCTTGGCCTCAGGAATTCTGAGGCTTGAGTCTTTGGGTATGGAGAGGGGACGGTGTGTGTGGGGTTGGATGGACTGCTTCTCACCTGGCTTGGTAACTCGCAGGAGCTCAGGTATTGCACTACAGGGCACCTGGCCATCACTGAGGGCACCCACCATCAGCACGGCATCATAGGTTCCTGTGTGAGATGTGCAGATGTGATGTGCTGGTTTGTCTTCGGTGTGGCCTCAGACCACCTGGAGGATGGTACCCATTGTAGGGTCTGGGGAGGGACCAGGCCAGCCACTAGTGTCTTCAGGACCCAAATCCCGTGGGGGGATATGGCAGGTTAGCATAGTCCAAGGCTGAGGTCAGATCATAGGATGGAGGGCTCAGAGAGAGGGGCTCATGGGACCTCACAGAGGGTCTTAGTGAGGCACTGGGGAGCTCAGAGGGGAATGAAGGGTCAGTGTAGAAGGGGGATTATGGAGGGTTCAGCAAGGGTGATGGAAGCTTGCTAAGAGAAAGGGGGACCGTCAAGGTGGCCTTGGTTAGAGGGTGGGCCTTGGGGTGTAGAGTAGAAGAAGAAGTACCTTCGGGGCTGGGTAGAGGTTCCTGGCCCAGGGTGCAGAGGCTGAGGCGCTGGTAGAGGCCCCGGGCCCGGGCCTGTTCCAGCATCCCTGGGCTGCCATCCACTCCATGCAGCTGGAGGAAGCCTCGAGCCTGCAGCTGGGGTGGGAGGACTCAGTTACAGTTCACACCTCCCATATCCCAGCTGGGTCCCTGCACCTCAAGGGGGGCAGTGGGCCCTGCAGTGGATGTAGCCCAAGTGTTTGGGAACTAGTGAGTCTGGGGCCAGGGGTGGCAAGAAATTTGAGCAAGTTGGGGGCTTAAGAGAGGGCAGGGGATATGGGCAGGCCTCACCTCGGCAGCCACCAGGCCAGTGCCACAGGCCACGTCCAGGATCAGGACAGCTTGTGGTGGGCCTGGAAGGGCTTGGGTGAGGCAGTCCACTGCAAGGTGTGGGGCACGGTACTGTAGGGCGGCCACATCCTGGGGAGGGACAGAATGATGAGCTGACTACCACCTTGTGTCCTCGTCTTCCAGGGACCTCAGTTGTGGGGTATTCTAGGAGACAGCCAGCTCAAGGTATGTGTGTGGTGAGGTGTGTGTGTGTGTGTGTGTGTGTGTGTGTGTAGGGGGGTTCTGCTGGGATTACAGTGAGAAGAGATAGGCATGAGGTGCTGTCCTCTACCATGGGGCCAGGACTGGAGAGTCAACCCCCAGCCCACTTTTGAGACCTGCTCTGCTGGCCAAGGCAGCGCTCTGTTATTAGTCCATTAGACCTTTCAAAGGCACCTCCTTCAGGCAGGCAGTCCTTCTACCTGGGCTGCAGTCCCAAAGTGGGGAGGGAGGGGTTGGCCGCTGATCTCTAGGGGGGCCACTGTGGTGTGATGGGGCTGGTCAGAGGGCAGGGCTGCAGAAGAGGGGCCTGTCCAAGAGGGGACAAGACTGCAAGGTTGTGCCCAGGTCTCTCTCACTTCATTCTCACAAGCCACCCAGGGAGGCAAGGCTATCTATTCCTGCTGTACAGACAGGAAAACTGATGCTGGGTGAGCAAGGGAGGTGGAGGACCCCCGTCAGGTTTACCTGGTCATAGTCTGGAGCCCAGTGGTCATAGAAGTGCAGCTTCTGGACTAGGTCGGTGATGCGGTGCGAGGCCCCTACCCGCGCCCGCATCTCGGACAGGCTCCCGCCCTCCTCCTGAGCCATCCTCCTGCTGGGACACCGCCTCTGTGCCCTGAGATGCATTTCAGTCTCCACCCCCACCTCTCCCACCCGCCATGCCCAGTAGAGCCGCTCCAGGCCACCAGCACAATCCCATTTCACAGGAGGGGACACTGCTCAGAGAGACTGGACACCTGGGATTCAGGGCTGGGGAAGGGGTGTTCCTGTAGCGGGAAGGAGGGCCTGCCCCGACCTCCCCACCTCCCGCTGCCATGAGAGGGTTTCCAGGACAGAAAGGGCTCTGCGGTGGGGGGCAGGGAAGAGTCAAGGCGGGGTCAGAACTTACCGCCAGTCTGACCCGCCGCGGGCCGGTGGGCACCGGAACTCCGGAGCAGGACTGTACAGCAAGCCTGGCCTTGCTTCAGCGCTCTCGACGATTGGCTTTCTTCTAAGAAAGCTACCCAATCAAATATAGCGCTGACTGCCCGCCCCTCCACCATCAGCCAATGAGCTTAAAGTTCTGGCTCGCCTGCACCCTGGGAAGATCCCTTTGAGAAGTTTTCTTGGTAGTTTAGTAGGTGGGTTTACGAGTTTCCCTGTGCCCTCCCAACTCCAGATGTCTTATGTTTCCTAAAAAGCATGAGCTTTTAGGCAGTGGGAGCCTCTAAATTCTTAGGGGCAAGAGAGAGAGAGAGCGAGCTAGGATCAGCCTTTGTTTTTAGAACGCTCACCAAGGTCTGGGCAACGCAGTCCAGAGTTTTCTGCGGTGATAAAAATGTCCTGTAATAAACGCTGTTTAGTATGGTAGCCACTATTCACACGCGTTGAGCACTTGAAATGTGGCTAGTGCTACTGAAGGAATAAATTTCACATTTTATTTTATTTTTATCCTCACCCGAGGACATTTTTTGATATATTGTTTTCATAGAGTGGGAGAGAAAGAGAGAGAGAAACATTGACGTGAAAGGGACACCTTGAGTGGTTGCCACCTGCACGACCCAACCAGGGCCGGGGACAAACTGCAACCGAGATACGTGCCCTTAGCGAGAACCAACCCAGGTCTCTCTGGACCGCAGGCCGACGCTCTAACCGCTGAGCCAAACAGGACAGGGCTGAATTTCACATTTCATTTTAATAATATAAATAGCCATCTGTGGCTAGTGGCCTATAGGCAGGGAGCCATGTTATTCAACCTTTGGGAAGGCTTGCAGCATCTGGTCAGTGTGTATAGCTAGGACTGCTCTAACAAGTCATTAGGGAAGCTTGTCAGAAATGGAAATTCTTGAGTTCCACCTGGCCTCTAACTTGTTTTCTGAGCCTACAAAGTCCACCTGGTTCACTTCTTCCATGGCTCACTTCTATCTCTGTGACTTTATAAATAAATAAACTTTTGCTTGTATCTGAGTCTTGACTCTGACTTCTTTCTTAACCAGAATCCAAGCACCAAGGTTGCTGAACTGAGGTTCAATTGCCAGAGATATTCTGGTGTGGTTTCGCCGCCAACAATTGGGTTGATGGTGGTGCCATTCACAGCAGAAGAACCCAGGAGAAGCAAGTTTGGGGTGAAGAGGATATTAACAATTTGGGAATGTTGAATTTGAGGAGTCCATGTGAAGCTATACAGGAAGCTGTTTGATGGCAGAGTCCCGAGTTTGTTACAGGTCCAAGGTTTGTGTGCCTGATGCTTCAAAAGAAAGGCCAAACGAAAGTTTGTAGCAAGGAAAGGAAGATTTATTGATTGAGAAGGCCTACATTGAGAAGATGGGAGAACTAATTCTCAAATCCATCTTAAGAGAGTCTGGAATCCAGGCATCTTTTGTTGTTAAGGGAAGAGAGGAAAGGTGAGGCAAGGAGTAGGTGCTGGCTGTAGACAGGTAGGTATCTAAAGGGACAAGGAAGAGCACAACATTTCTAAATTCCCTTTGTTTCAGGTTGGTCCACTGACCCCTGATGATGACCTGAGTCTAGTTATAAACACTGCTGTGAATCTTGGAAAAACAGTTATTACTTCGTGCACATTTTCCCACCTCTTAGCTCACAAGGGGGCTGCTCAAGCCTCTAGCAGAATTCCTCTAGTTAATTAGCATATCTATAGCAGGAGCTATTAGCCCTCAGGCCATTATAGAGAGGAGACTTTTCCTGCTGTTACAATGGAGAGGTCAGACTGCAGACAGATTTAGGGTCCTGAGTATAACTGGTGGTGATTGAGGCAGCTGGTAAAGGTGAGATTGTGCAGGGAGAGCAGGAAAGAGGAGACGGCTCAGAGTGGAATAGGAATGTCTAGGAATGTTGGAGAAAACCCAGAGAAAGTTGGTAAGGATGCCAAGAACAGAGTTTTAAGAAGATGGGGGATAGTTAACATTGCCCAATGTTGCTAAGAGGTGGTGTAAAGTGAAGCTTAAGAAGCACTGGATATAGAGACGTGGAAGTCTCTGGTGCCTAGACAGACCCGCCTAGTGTACACCAGTTGCCAAGTTTGCCTCTTCCCAAGTTAGACTATGTGTTCCATCTTCTTTTGCTTTCAAATGTGGCCATGTAGCTGAATTCTGACTTATAGAATGTGTATGGAGGTGTTAAAGAAACAAAAGGCCAAAATAGAGTTACTTTTGCTAAGCTAGGCCACCACCCAAAAACTTAATAACTAACTTAATTACAGGTTCAGCCTTTCCCAGGATTGGAATTTTAAACCAATCAGTCTGAAATTTCCTGATGGACACTACTTGCCTTAGAAAGTATCGTCTCTTGAAATAATCTACTCTTAACTTCTTAGTCCTACCCTCTTTCTGGTATAAATACCTTCCCTTTTCAATCCTTTTGTAGTTCTTAAGGGTGATGATAGGGTGTTCAAGCACTTATGTGAGATGAGCCTCTCTCAAACTGAGGCAGGATAATAAGAAGCTAGGAAAATTTCTTGGCATGTGGAATGGGGAAACTGAGGTAGCTGAACAATTTAAAGCCAGATACAGAAGGTGACCAGGGTAGAAAGCTCCAGGTGCCTAACAACAGGCAAAACAGGGTGGCTTTTCTCTCCTGGCATATCACTGGTCATTCAGTTTCGACCCACCTGGCCTTTCCTCCGTAGAGATAACATCAGTTGTATTTCAGCTCCAGGCCCACAAAAGCAGCAAAACGAGGTGCCCACACCACGACTAATGACCCCTAGTGTTGACCAATCAGTGGAGACCACGGGCCCTAAAAGGGCACACATGAAAAAGCTGAAGAATATTCTATTGAGATTCTCTCCTAAGACATCCCCTAAACTCTCAGCTTTAAAAACCCTCAAGACGAAGGACTCAGTCAAGCTCTCCCAGGAGCATGCCTGCCCCTCTCCCCTCCCTCACAGGCATGCACTTCCTAAACTCTAAGGGACCTTATGAGGCTCGCAACCTGGGGACCAATGGGCAGCAGCAGCTTGCCCCAGACTAAACCCCTGGACCTGTCCCCAAGGCCCCTTTTTCCCTGACTCTCCAGTGAGCCAAAGCAGCCCCGTCTTACTTCTTTCCCGTAACATTTCTAGAGAGCCAAAGCAGCTCTGTCTGTCTCTCTCCTGTGGCTTCTTCTATCCTAGGCCCTTCCTTGTTTCACGGTCCCCAGCTTTAATAACGTACTCTCAAAATCACCTGGACTTGTGTTGTGCAATCTTTCCTGCATGAAGTCAAGAACCCACACACTATAGGCTGGCTCGAGGCAGACCCGCTCCAGGCCTGGTCCCTTTCTGGTAACAAAACCTTGTAAAGATAATCATTACATTACCAGTCTCATGTGAACTTGGGAAAAGAACACACACACACACAAAACCCTTATTGTACAACTCAACCAAGTGTCCTTCTAGTTGAGGGATGGGACGCTGCTCCAGTCGTGAATCACTTAATAAAGCCAACTCAGATCTTTAATTTACTTGGCTTAATTATGTTCTTTAACAGGGTAAAGTATTCCATTTCTAGACCTGGACAATAAAAAATAGCTAGTATATGATTCTCTATGGAGTTGGCTCCAAGCACCCAGAGGACATTGGGGCTACAAGATGAAGGAGTCTGTGACCCTAAATGATTGTGTGGAGCAGTGCCCTCCTGAACTACCTGCATTGGGCTGTAACACTGTGAAAATGATATAAAAAGCAGCTTTTTTTTTTAATTAAAAATTTTTTTTTCTTCATTAATTTTAGAGAGAGGGAGAGAAAAATAGAACCATCGATGAGAGAGAACATTGATTGGCTGCCTCCTGCACACCTCCCACAGGGGATTGGGCCCACAGCCTGGGCACGTGCCCTGACTGGGAATCGAACTGGCGACCTCTTGGTGCATGGGTTAATGCTCAACCGTTGAACCATACCGACCGGGCTAAACAGCTGCTTTTTGTTTGTTTGTTTGTTTTTTATCCTCACCTGAGGACACCTTTTCCATTTTTTTGTTCAGATAGAGTGGGAGGGAGAGAGAGAGAGAAATATTGACATGAAAGGGACACATTGAGTGGTTGCCACCTCACGACCCAACCAGGGCTGGGAACAAACTGCAACGGAGGTACATGCCCTTAGCGGGAACTGAACCCAGGTCTCTCTGCACCGCAGGCCGACGCTCTCACCACTGAGCCAAACCGGCCAGGGCAACAGCTGCTTTTTGAAGTTGGAGCTGTGTCCCAGAGGAACTGCCTTGCAGGTCTTACTACTGTCAACATAAAAAACATTCAAACCTGTGAAGAATTTTTGTGAGTTTATTTGAGTCAAAACTGTCAACAATTGCCAAATCTCAACAGGCTGAGGTAATGCTTGAGAATGGCAGTTATTCACCTCATTTTATACATTACAATCAAAAGAGAAGATGCAAGTGAGTTACATGAAATCCACTGGTGATAGATTTAGGGAGGCGGAAGAAAGCAAAGTGGGGAAACCTCTGGGATTGGATAAAAAGTAAAATGATATATACATACATTTTTTTTTACATAGGTGGGTGCCGGATAGTTAATGGATAGTTAACAATCAACAATTAACAAGAATTAGGGGATTTATAATCTCTGCCCATTGGTTGTGCCCTGAGGGGTCTGGAACAAGGGAAGTTACCTGACATTCCAAAGGTCTGTTATCATAGATGCAAAAAGACAATAGGCTCAGAACTAAGGTGAAAGTTGACCTTTGTCAGGGAAGATGCCCGGCTAGGACATGACTACCTGCCTGCCATAAACTGCTTTTAGTTAAAAAGTTTTAATTCAGGCCCTGGCCGGTTTGGCTCAGCGGTTGGAGTGTCGGCCTGCGGTACAGAGAGACCCGGGTTCGGTTCCCGCTAAAGGCACGTACCTCGGTTGCAGTTTGTCCCCGGCCCTGGTTGGTCGTGCGGGTGGCAGCCACTCGATGTGTCCCTTCACATCGATGTTTCTCTCTCTTTCTCTTCCTCTCTCTCCCTCCGGCTCTATCTGAACAAAAAATG